AAGCTCAACTACAGTAAATTAACAAAACGCTTAAAAATGTTACCAAGTTGTTCTATGTAAAATCTTTTTTTATATTAACATAATTATCTCCCACACTGCCGGTGTTTAATTAACCCAACAACAATCTACCTTCAGAAGTAGGGCATAAAGAGCACCTCAAAACATCAACTAGTTGTTCCAAACATATAGTTCCTACAACTTACATAGAAGCATTAGCATACATACCATATGGAGGAAATATTGCAATTAACAAAACTTATTAATTCTTAACTCACATACTTTTAAACACAGCTTTATATCTCATCACTTATCACAAACGAATACGAACAAGACGCCATTGCAACGCTTATGACCTCTTTCAACTTTACACTCTACTGAACTGAAGATGGCACCACAGTATAGTTTATACTTGTGCTGCCATCTACACTCTAAAATTTATTTTTTGAATACTTTAGTAGTATACACAATCAAAATACAACCCGCCGTGAAGAAACCAAATGTTGTTCATTACGCCTTAAAATCACCTTCCACTGGCCAAACGAACCTTACTCAAAATCCAAAACCAGACGTTCCAAAAACGCCCATTTTAATATTATACACACTTATGTCATCTTTGTCCTCTTTACCATTTAGTCACAACCTTTTCCTTTAACCTGTATTTGACATCTACACCAAGGCAAAACAATGTTGACTAAACACTGTTCACCAACTGTGTTTATTAAGTATTTGAGGATGTTGACAAACACTCAATATTCAAAAACAAACTTCTTTTAAGAAATAAATTACTTGTTACACATTGTTACTTAGAGAACTTATTTTTTTTAACCATTTGACATGACATTTCATAATCCCCTCCACACTTCTCTATTGAACACTTGATCTTCGGACCACCCCACTCATGCCTAAATAGGCTGCATAAATGACAATGAAGGAAAAACTGTGCTTCTTAACTTAAGATTAAAAGTACATAAAGCAAAATAAAAGTACATTAATATATAAACATTACTTAATTGCAATGTACTTAATTCATTTCAGATGTTTTTTAAAAAACAATACATGCACATGGTAAGAAAAATGAACACTGATTTTGAACTTGATCAAGGCATCAAGCTGATTACGCAGTTGCAATGCCGAGTTAAGAGCACAACTGCCACTCGTCCTAACATTTTTTAAGCCAGTCTCCTGTGCACAAAGTGGACAAAAGCTGTTTGCCAAGCACAGCACCACACAGGTGTACATTGCCTAGATCATCTCTGTGCATACAAATCATGTTAGACTACATTGGAACAAGTGAAGACATCTTGCCTGACACATGTCCACTCTGGCAAGTGCGACTGACTAGCTATGACAAGAGTTGATGCCAAAACACTGAAGCCTTGGGTTATCAAGGGCTAACAGAAATGCAGCTGTTACCACTCTACGAATAGCATGATAGTTCTAATGAAGGTTCACCCGCAGCACAGGAATTTGAATATGCCAGCTCTGAAACAACAATCTTCGAATGGCTGAAAAAATATATGATGGAAGTGGCACTCTACATCTGGTTGGTCACCACAGAATGGGATGGTGCATGGCACCGTTCACTGCCATACAAGCCTTTTCTTTTGAGTATGGATAGAAGGGAAGAAAAGGGCAAAATCTGTTATGCCATCTCAATTTTGTAACATAACACAGACATCTCAGTATAACTCTAACTTAATTTTCATTCTATGTCATAGTTATGAAGTATGCATATTACAGATTTAAATAGTTACAGAAATATATACCTATTCTTTCTGTAACAATGTTACTTAAATTACTGCATAATTTGAGAAGGGTGCACATATATTTTCATTAAAGCAACTTTTCATATTTCCTGCCCTAAAAGCCTGGAATATATTAGATGCAAGGAGAAACAGTACCACAATAAAACAATCATATAAAACAGAATCTAATTATTATGCAACAGAAGTTATTGAAAATTACAGAGTGAATACTACACACACCATCAATATGTACAGGTTACTATAACACAGCAACTATGTCCTTTATTCTTATAAAGTAAGATGCCACATTTACAATAAAAGTGAATGGAAAGCTATGAAATCCACTTTGGTATCGTCCTTTGTGTCAGTTTGCACCAACTACAAAATGTCATAGACCGATGTATTTGCAACTACAATAAGGACAAAATCACAGTAAAATATTCATGTATAATGGATTCAAAATAAATATGTATTTTGTAATACAGTACACATATTTATGGTACATAACTGTATCCTTACACGAAATTACATAACTTTTAACGAAGTTCACTCCAAAACTTGTGAATGAAAGAAAATCCTGCACAATCCTTGGCCAACCTTAATTGCAATATACATAAATTACAGCTTCTTAACTGGATGTACAAAAAGTCCCACTATTCTGTGTGAACAGTAAAAAATACCTAGTCTTCAAGAAGGTCCACAGTCAATTGCTGCCATGAATTATCTTTACGTAGAACCAATCACAATCAGTTTAGCAGCAACAATAACCACATCAGCCACAAGGCTGACAAGCATTTTAAACTTAAAAGCTAATATAATTACTACTCACTTTTAACTTTATATTCATCCTTATCTTCCGATTCAGATTTCACATGGTCATCTTCTCCATTCTCATCGCTCAATCTCCGACTCCGGGATGACTCCCTACTTCATAACAAAAGCATCTGTAAGGTTTCATACTTTTACGCCTGCTATTCACTGTCTCTGCGACTCCGGGATGACTCCCTACTTCATAAGAGAAATATCTATAAGGATTGATACTCACACAATTTTACCACACTACAGTAGAATCGTGATTATGTAATGCTATTACCGTTAAAATATAGGTAGCACTAACCACACACTCCATATCTCACACCCACAAAACCAAACTAACAAGGCAATATGATAATTTTCAACACAATTTCATTTTAATGCGTTGATCTGAATGTGCAGTTTTTCTTTTATATAACTTTCAGAACAATGACTTATACATCTTTTTATGATGCTACCAAACCAGTGAACATTTACAAAATTACAGTGTTAAATGAACACACAAACTATTCCATAAGTTTTGTTGTAAAATTTACATGTAAAAGAACCAAATCTAACTTTTTAAAAATGGTGTCTGCATTAAATTAGGAAAACTGCAGTAGTACTGAAAATGCCTGTCCCGGGTAATCTCTAAGAAGTTTCCATTTCTCAGTTTTCAAATAAATTTGAAATATATTTATTTTCCTTACCACCTTTAAACATGAAATTTTGATTACACAGGTTTAAGATGACAATTTTTATATGACACAAATATTATTCTGTTAAGACTGAATTTCATATATAGAACAATATAATTTCTTTCAGAGAATGTCTTCAACAGCCAAGATACATATAAACCCTTTACTCACTCACACATACTTCTAATTGTATCATACAAAATAACATTTTGCTCACAACTGAAACACTTCCTAATATTAGAAAATTCAAACATGTAAAAATAAAAAATAAATAAATTATGCCACAATCCAAATCTGGTATGAAGAATATATTTTACAGCTTCATCATGTTTGTTAAATCAAATAGTAACATTTTGAACAAATTTTAATATTACATGGAATAAAATTTATTGCATCTAAAATGAAGAGTACTGCTGTTTCCAAATATATATCGTACACTGTAAAAATACTTAGAATAACAAATCACAGCCAAGCCCAAATTTAGTATCAAGCTGTGGGTTGGTGACAAACCACAGGAAACATGGGAAGAAATCTAGCAAACTAATTTACCACTTTTTCACTTTTCAATGCCCTCAATGAAAAAGTGCACAAGGCTGATAAAATATTTAGTCACTTTTTGTTCTTTACAAAGTATTTTCCTGACATATATAATGAAATTAGGCACATTTGTTCTAACCTTGTGAAATCATCTTTTAGTGTCAATATTGCCTTTAATACACAACTGATCCATCCAGCAAAATGAGTGAACAACAATGTAGGACAGTTTTATAAGGATATTTTTTCAGTTGTCAGCAATCACCTCTACAGTTGGCAAATATATAGTGCAACATAACCACACAATCAGTAATCTACTGTAACATGCCAGATACACGAACGAAATCTACTGTATTTCAATGATGTACCACAGAACCTGAATACAAGTTCTGCACAGTGCAGTTATGATTATTTTTCTTTCACATAAATGTAAATGAGCAACAAATGTTTTATTTACAAACCTAAAAGGATGGGAAAGGAAACAAAAGAAGAAGAAAAATAAACTCGCAACTAACATAGATGAAAGGCAATGACAAAAATGGTGATATCTACTGAAACAGATCTGCATGAAAAGTTCAGGATCCAGTGGTGGCTTTCTGTGATTACTAGGAAACTTGTTCCAAAATGAGTATTAGAACAGCCACACAGACTTCAGGAAATACCTTGTAATGATGCTGCTCTGAAAATACAGCCATCTAATCAGACAAATCACTCTTCTACAAAATGTTTTAGTCAATAGTTTAGGACACCTTCTTTCAGATATGAATCTGACACAATTCATTCTGGGAACAGGATCTTCGACTTCCTAAGACATTCCCAGTAGTCTGATAACCAATCATATCCACAGATTTGTCTTCCCACAGTTTCACCTCTTGCTTAAACTCCCCCACATTCTTCTGTAAACCTGTTGTTCCCATCTTAAATTCGGACTCCCACTTGGGCATTTTTCTTTCACTTCCATCCACATCTGACATCTCTTTCATGTTGCAGGAGGGGGACAATGTTCAAGCAGGAGAAAGCTTGTCAGAGTGAAACAGAGCAGACCTAGTCTCTGGCACCTCCAAGAAGCACCCTGGAAAATGAATGGCTAATGGGGCTATGGTCAAGTTGTGATGGGCCTGGAAAGATGACAGCAGATTTTTAAGTCTTTCAGTAAAGAACCTAGCACTGGAAACTTTGAGAGTTAAGTTTTAAAATTGTACAACATAAATTATTCATCTGCACTGCCAACAAACACATGGGGCAGCCCAACTTGAATAAACCAGACTCTGATCACCCTACCACACCATGGTATCCAATAAACATGAGTGACATACAACAAGAAAATTCCTCATGGAAACGAATCTAAAAACATCAAGTGGTCCTTATATAACAAATGTAAAACAATCACAGAAAATGCCAACTGTCTTTGGGGTTGTGACCCAACATGGTCTTTTATGTTGTTTTGGAGGAATATATCACCTGCATCTTCAGGGTTCATTCCCCTGAAATGGTGACAACCTACAAGGCTACATAGTAGACAACAAAGAATACCACCTCAACATTTGGATTGCTGAAAGAACACCAAACCTCAATCCTTTAAAATGATTCAGCACTATAAACCATCACAACAATGATAAAGATTGAAGGCATGACTTATGTTCATCCAGTAAAATAGTTAATTTCTAGAGAAGAGTTCATGTTTCATTACGAGTAATCCATTTTTCAGATTATTATAAATGCTGTGGCACTGAAAAATATCTCTGACTGGGACATTGGTGAACAAAAAATTTAAAAATGTTACAGAATACAACTACATGAGGTGGAAAGTTTCATCAACATAATTAGTAATGGCAGTAAGGTCAACAACCAAGATGTAAAATAAAGTGTAACCTACAGCATGCATTTATTCTACAGGTAGCATCACAAAACAATTTGTGAAGCACCCTGTAAGACAATGTGGTACAAGTGTTTCCACACAGCAGAATAAATGGAAATTATAATGTGTTGAATAATGACGAAAACTTTGGAGTAACTAATGTGTACCACAATATATAAAATGTCCTGAAATAGAAAGTGGCAACATTTGTCTGTAATATGGAAAGTGCCACTGAAGAAGTCAGACAATGCTTCCTTCACGAAGGCTTTCAAGTGAATAAAATGTATTGCCGTTAAGACTGGCTCAAAATGTCTTGGCTTGTTGCACCATAATTCAAAAGGAGAAACAGGCTGACAAGTTTGAAAACATTTTAATCATAAATTTAGTGTCCTTCCTTAGTTAGGAAGACTGGTAATCTTGTAAGGCAGGCCCTGTTGTACATCAGAACCAGAAAGATGCCAACTGATGAATCTCTTATTTCTTACAGCATGCAATTACTTTCTTTAAAGGGAGGTTTTGAAATTGTCTTACCCGTCACGCCTCTTATCTCTTGAATGTGAACGATCCTTCCTACGATCTCCAGAACGAGACCGATGTGACCTAGAGCGTCTGCTGCGGCTACTGCTGCGAGATCTATGTGACCTGCAAGTTAATCTTCAAATTAAATCAAACTTTTAAACATGACCCTGTGCTTTGTGCTTTATTAGGCTTCAACACAAAATATTCCACCTTTTCATATTACTCAACCAATTTTGTTAATTCAGAAAGCCAATTCAATTGCAGATTTATAAACCTGGCAATAGACAGAACACAAACTTAGTAAATAAATAATACTTGTTCATTTAAATCTCTCACATTATGATTTTGCTAATATGATCTGTCATATAAGATCAGTTACGTAACTTACAATGCACCCAGACCTGGCACCAAAAGTCTACACACTATTGCACTGTCATTTACCAATTAATAGTACATAATCCAACAAGATTTACAATATAAATTGTATTCCAGCTACTCTGCTGCTGGCTCACCTCTTAGCAGCCAATTTTAGCAGTATTACACCAAAAAGAAATATATGGCAAACAATCTATTGAAAGAGAGACATTTTGTCTGCTCAGAGCATATTTCTACATAAAGGCTGAATATAGTGGAATAGATAAAGCACCAGTGCATGACAAAATTTCAGAAAATACCTGGAACTGTGCGATTTGCTACGCGATCGTGACCTCTTCTCACTGCGACCACGGCTGGAGCTTCTGCTGCGCCTGTGCCGACCTCTGTCTCGGCTACTTGAACTCCCAACACGATCTCGATCTCTCTCCTTCGCACGTTCTCGCTCACGATCTTCTCGCTCCCTCTCCCTGTCTCTACTGCTCATCTCCTGTCGTTTCTGCTGTTTCCGACCTTCAACAGTTTTCTGAAACAAACCAAACACTCCCACAGTTAACTACAGTCAGCAGTCCAGCACACTACAATACACTCAGTGTCAAAACATTTTTCCTGCTGGCTCTGAGTCAGAATATGTTAAGGCATGTTGTAGCACTTACTTCAAGTTCAGCCAGTTTTTCTCTGATTTTAATAAATCCCAAGTGAAGCTTGCCGCCAAAATGATCGGCCAGTCGTCGATCATTATCATGAATACCAAGATATGCAGAGCAGACTTCACAGACACGCAGCTTTTGTTGCTGGTAGCTGCTGGCGGGCATGGAATTGCGATACTCTCCTTCTGCTGCACTTTTCTTCTTGCGCAGATCCTCTATCTATAGAATAAAACAGTCAAATAAAAACCTCATAAGAATCAATTAATCTCAACTGGGGAAAACTGGAATGTCTAATGTATTGTAGTATCATAGTTTAGGAGTTATTAAAAATATATCCATAAAACACAATATAAAATAACATTTTAGATAGTATGCAGTAACATTATGTTTATGTTTGAAGAATAAATATATGTATCAATGCAGTAACATGTTTTAGCAGTACATATGCTCTCTCAAATATTATTGACAGACATGAAAAATATTTGCACTTCAGTAAAGTAAGAGGACATCATCGATAAGCAACAATCTTGAATTATAACATACCATTAAATGATCGTGTTTCATATTAAAATAAGAGGTCTAATCCAACTTGAATAAAAATTGGATAGGTGGAAATGTAATGGAACAAAAATTCAACACTATTTAGAATTTGTCTCTGGGGCAGAATCTTGACTCACCATTTAAACCAGGGAAAAATACAACAAATGTGTGTTCTGTTTACCTATAAATGGTTATGAAAGCTTTCACAATAAGGACTGCCTGTAACTGGGTAAATACAATACCTGAACACATTTCAAGAACAATTATGTACTGAAATAACTTTTATGAACCCCTCTCATATGCAGTCATCATTAAATTGACTCTCACACACTCCAAAAACCAAGCTTGTGATCTAATCAAGTTTTCAACAGTGAAATTACAGTGGCCTCCATAAAACAACAGAACTGTAATGTGGATTCATATCAGTACTTGATTAAAAGCATGTGTCATGCAGTGTAACTTGCCTCTTCCATCAGCTTCATACTCTCCTCCACAAAGCCCTCAGCTCCTAATTGCTCTGCCCTTGCCAACTTCTTGCCAATTTGCTCTGCAAGTTCATGTACTTTGTTAGCTTTCTGTGCAACTTCTGCAGACAATTCCTCCTGAGTCTCGGCTAAACGCTGCTTTGCCAGCTCAGTTCTGCGATCACAGTCTGCAATGAATGCTTGCAGGTGTTCCATGGCCTAAAAGTAAAAAATGAACCAGCCTGTTACTCTTTATAACCTCAAATTACACAAGGGACGGACAGATAGGTTTGACTGTAGATGTATTAGATTGAAGATAACTTCAGATACTGTCAATATTGAAACAGAAATTCATCTTAGAAACAGTAAATAATTAAGCCCTAACATCAACAAGACTTTAAACATGACTACTCAATGCACACCACACAACAAACGGTGAAACAATGACTTGGATCAGAAATATATGGAGTACATACCAAGCAGTATTTATCTTAAAGTGTCTATTAAGTCTGTACAAATGTAAAAATGTTTAGCTCCCTTTGGATCATGATAAGACAATTACACAGCATTATTTTCCAAATAACTGATTAAGAAGATGCATCTTAACTCTTTGACAGATTCAATGGTCATGTCTCTTTACAAAGTTCTCTTATTTTAGAAACTATATAGAATAATTTACAGAAAATAAACACTGAAACAATGCACTTCCTTACATCAATATCATAATAGTAATCCTTAGTGTGACTCGCTTTCTCAAAATCAGCACGAAGAGCAAGGTCATGTATCTTGGGGCAATCTCCAAGGTCCATTCGCTGAAAATACAGAACATCATTGCTACAATCAAATCTTACAATCAACCTGTAATCACTACATACTATGCTGTAATAGTACCAACATTTTTAGGTCCCTAACATGAAAACAGTTGCCAATAAAATAAACCACAAATTTTCAGTTAAGAATAGGATACTAAAAGCAAACAACCCCTCCTATAACTACTCATCAAAATATTCAGCAGTACATGTGATCATGTTCTTCCTATTGCTCAGTCTACATATAATTATAAATGATAAAAAACTTCAGACATGAAGTCTTCCATAGCTAACAGTGGGACACAGAGATAGCAAGAGCGGAAACACATTCTTTAAAATGGGGAACAAATTTTTAAAATGTATTCACACTTCACTAGTCTCATGTTTGTTTCTTGCGTATGCAAATCTTTTAGCATGACAAAACATTTTCTTCTTCCTATAAATGCACACTGCCACTGTTAAAATTTTTTATATAGAATATCTTCGTTCATTACAGCATCATCAAACATTTCCTTATGTTCCATAAATGTGTATTTTCTCAAACAGAGATAAAATCAAAAGAAAATCAACAGACTACTCTGTTACTTCGAATTCAAATCTAGTCATACTAATGTTCTATGGAAAACACAGGATTCCTCATGTTTGGTGCAATGTATTTAACGCCTGTGATGCAAATTCAACTGTAGAATGGGGACCTTACTAATGAATGTTATATTGGTTTCTTTCTCGTGAATATAAGAAACTATGGCAGAAATAAGACATACTTTTCTTCATTAGAAATAAAGGAAAAAACTGTTCAAATTTAATTCTACAATGCAAATAGTATCTTAAAAGTGACAAAAATCATGTCAACCACCACCCACATAATAAGAACCAATATTATATATATATATATATAGTTAAACTGTTTTAAAAATAAATTAAGAAATCTATCATACTTCATTAGCATTCAAAATTAATCATTTGGGGAATAAATTGTCTGTTCCATGTGCACGTGTAAATTTTATTTCACAAAATTTGGAAAAACATACGAATGTGAAATCCTGTGGTTCTTATTTATTGAATGTATCTTATTGTAACTTAACAGCATAAATCAGAAAATGTACAGGTAACCCTCGATTTACGCCCGGGATGCGTTCCTGGACGAACTGGCGTAAATTGAAACTCTTTTTATAATGTAAATCAATGGAAAGTCAATGACATGCGTACCCGGCACCCAACATTGACGAGTAATATAATATAATGCCCCACACCCCATTCAAACAATTCACTGATACTTCCTCCCAGGCTGCATTGATGTTATTAATGCCCCTCAAAACGTCGAATGAGCGCCAATAATCCTTTACGGTTTTGTCTCAACTTTCCAAAACTCTCAGCATTTCTTTTAAGGTGTTGCTGAGGTAATAGGCTTTAAAGGTCGCTATTACACCCTGGTCCATTGGTTGCAAAGCTGAAGTGGTGTTAGGAGGCAGGAAAAAGACGTTGACATCCAGAGGATTTGCTAGGTTTGTCGGATGGCCAGGGGCATTGTCCAAGAGAAGAAGGGCCTTGGTTGGCAAGTCATTCTCATGACAAAAACGGAGCACAGTTGGGCAAAAATAGTGGAGTACCAATCCAAGAAGACTTGTTGTGTCACCCAAGCCATTCTATTTGACTTCCAGTAGACTGGCAACCTGGCTTTGTTGAGGCCTTTGAAAGCACGAGGTGTCTCTGAATGGTACACCAACATTGGCACCCATCAAAAGCGTTACCCTGTCTTTTGCAGCCGTGAAACCTGACGCAAACTTCTCTTCACGGGCGAAGAAAGTTCGTGAAGGCAGTTTATTCCGATACAGGCCTGTCTCATCAACATTAAAAATAAGATCAGGAGGATAATCACCCTCCTCAACAGTGGCCTGAAACTCTGCAGGATATGCTGCAGCTGCCTCTGCATCTGCACTTAATGCTTTGCCACTTATTTTCACACTGTGACATTTAGTGCAAAATTTTAATCGCATAAACCAGCCCTTGCTTCCTAAGAATGTCTCTTTACTATAATCTTTTATCATAAGTTCCTTAAAAATTGACTACGCCTTATCTGTGATAGCAATTTGAGCCAAGGGAATGTTTTCTTGATTCATGTCATCCACCCATAGCGACAGTAATTTCTCCATTATTTCTAAAAGTTTACTTCTGCTATAACTCACTTGCGTTGCACTTACTCTCGTAGCCTGCTGCACTGACCGTTTTATATTATATGAATTTTTCATTATGGTAGTCACAGTGGAAGGAGGCAACTGCATACTTCTGTACACATTACGATGGGTATCACCACCTATTCTACGAATTATGTCCATCTTATCTTCTAAAGCAATAGACCTACGCAACACATTCACTTCTCTTACCAGACATGGTGGCTCTTCTACAATTTATAAATATAAAGTAGTTGCTACTGCAGAATAGTGGTCGAACAACAACACAAACACGTTTAGCGCACAGTTTTCAGCACATTCAATGTGTCAACAAGAAGCGAACTGAGCGCATTTTTCCTTACTCCCTTATCTGGCTGAACGCAAATGACTCACCCTGAAGAGTGACACGCCAATGCCCACATGACTGTTGCACAATGTTGGCAGATTTTTAGGAGATTATCTCGCAACTACTTAGCAATGAGTGCAGAGGGGACTGTATTTATAATTTTCATTCAAAATCAGCGATGTAAGAATTGCAATTTAGTATAAGTATCAGTACGAGAAACATTGTAAAACGTTATAAATAATAGTAAAATATATATTTTTCATTTTTTGACTTGCTGGTTTCAAAAGCGGCGTTATTCTGAATTGGCGCAAATCGAGGATTACCTGTATATGGCTTGTGTACTACAGATCAAAATGGCAATACATGTGCATACAATTTAATCCCTATATAACAATTTTAACCCTTTTATGGATTTTACTTGTCAAAATACCTTCACTAGTCTTGCCAGGCTGCTGAATATTACATTATCTTATACATGAAGTACACTGCTGTGTGCTAATGAATGTGCAACAGAAGAACTGTCTATTCCAGTCACATATTCCCCTGAATATTTCCAATGTCTCTATGTATTAATGAGTGTAACTTAAAATGTCTTCCTTTCATTTTTAGGCTTCACAACTTACAGACTCTCAGCTCGAATGGTGTCGCCGAATGATGTAATGGTGACAAAATCCCATCTAAACTATCCGCATGGGTGTGTGTCAAATAGCATAACTTTATCTCCCTAAGGGTGAAAGAGACCAGTTGAAAAATGTGAGTCTCAACACGAATTGTTAACATCTAGAATGTTTTGAGATCTCTTTAAAAAGTGCAGAACGAGTACACACCGCGCAGATGGCCCGGGCACGTCAGCTTCGTTCATACTCACAGGATTGCTTTGCCCCCTCACAGGAGACTACTGGTGAGCATCATGCATACGACTTGATTTACTTACAGAAAGTAGACCTTGGCAAGTTTTCAGTGAGGACATGGTCTATTACTCCCTCCCTTTGGGTGCTGGTATTTCAACTCAATAGGACATCAAATGCCTTATAACAAGTCTTCAACCAATGGCAGCAAAGTAATGAGGGGCAGCAAGCACTATGACTCATGAGAAATATTAGAATTAAGTGTATACTGCTGATAATGAACTATCATATCTTCATTATTCTTCTTGGCACTATAGCCCAAATGAAGTATCACCAACCTCAAATCAATGAGGTAATCCTATCCACATGGTAAAATTCCTTAGGTGGGGAATCACTCTGGTTTCATGCATTGGGAAATGTGTGGGTGGACATGGTGCCGTCAACTCTGCCATGACTTTAACAATGCTGAACTATCTTTCGGAGAGAAATATATTTTTTACCACTTACTAGCTACCTCAGAACAGAAAAGCTGACAACCACAGAAACTCCTACATCCTGAATTGAATATATCTGCAATGAGGCAATGAAAACCTTCAAGCAGAATATATTGAAAGAAAATGAAACTAGGATTACAAAACACACTTAGAAGCATGCACCTGTACGTGTACAACGTAGGAAGGGATTTCAGTCAGTAGTTCTATAGATTGAATGACTAGGCATATGAAACTGGCAGAGATTAGAGTTTTCTTGAAGTAACCTTCGAGCTGGGTCTAACCCGGTGGATACAAAGGAATATCATCTCAGGCAAAATATGACCAGTGCATGATGCTGGCAATGCATCTCCATTTAGTACCATGGTCTACAATAGTCCAGCAATCAATGTACTGCATAATTTACTGATCTGTTTGCCTTTCAAAAGGATTACATTTTGATGAATAAGCAACATGGATAAGATAACAATTGAGCTGCAATTCCCTCCCAAATGGACAAATGACACAACTACAAACAATGGCATGGAAACAGCTTTCCAAAATATCCGTTTCACTTGCCTTCATGCACAATGTTATTTGTGCTAGAGCACAGCCCGACGAGAGTCCACACATGAATCACCATAAAAAATAATAAAATAGAAGTATTTAAAATAGCTAAGGCCCTACATCTGCTATACTTCGTTATGAGAGACAGGACACCTGAAAACTGAATTTCAATGTCTTACTATGAAAACTTAATCACTTTTCTAAGTTTAATGATACCTCTGAATTGTGGATGTTTAATTGAATGGAAAGAAGATTATAAATAATAAATTTTCAAAGATGTGGACAAAAGACACACCTGACTGTTTTCAAGCACTATCCTAGCATTTTGCTGGAGGGACTGAGGAAAAAAATGTCATATTACCTGACATATAGGATGATAAACATATAAAATCACAAATACGAGACAAGAGTGCAGCGCAACTGCATATCTAATCACTGTTTATGCTGGTTATTTCTTTTACATCAAAATAAATTTCAAATATCATTCTGAAATGTTTGTATCAAGTTTTACAACCTATTCAGATATATAAAAAGCAAAGAAAGAAAGAAAAAATCCCTCAAAACTACAAGAAAAATGGCTCATTCAAAATCAATATAAGCAGAAGGTCAGACATTACAACATAATGGATATCTGAAATAAAGGTAATCCTGTTTGACATTATCACTGTTCCAAATTTATCACACATTTCAATGTCCTGTCATTTCAATCAAACTGATGTATGTACTGCCTCAAAAGGTTACAGTACTGGGGGAAATACACAAACAGTTGTGCCTTTTCCAGAAACTTCAGAAGTCTGCAGTTTGCACTTACATTTAAGTACAACATTTCTAAAGGTAACATAAAACTTTGCTGAAAAAATGCTGGTAGAAATGAAAACCTTCATCGACAGAAGAGT